TCATATTTTAGCATTTGTTTTTTGTTTATATATGTCAATTATTATTATTAGTTTTTAAACTTTTCCAGAAATAACCACTGTTTTCCCAGTGACATGTGACTTCTAGTCATTTGGTATTAAATAAGAAACCTCAAAAGAGACTTCAAAATAGTCATCATTAAGTTTAGCAGAAAATTTTAAAGTATTTGATCATCTTTTGTCATTGGAAAAAAACCCCCAGACCTTATAGGTGTTAATCCCGGTGTTCTGAGCACTTAACTTTTAGATTTTTTTTATTTTTATTTTGAGACAGAGTCTCTGTTGCCCAGGCTGGAGTGGAGTGACGTGATATCAGCTCACTGCAACCTCTACCTCCCAGGTTCAAGCAATTCTCCTGCCTCAGCCTCCTGAGTAGCTGGGATTATGGGTGCCTGCCTCCACACCCAGCTAATTTTTGTATTTTTAGTAGAGACAGGGTTTCATCATGTTGGTCAGGCTGGTCTTGAACTCCTGACTTCAAGTGATCCACCCGCCCTAGCCTCCCAAGGTGCTGGGATTACAGGTGTGAGCCACCACACCTGGCTGACACACAGGACTTAGATGAGGAGGTGGGGAAGGGTGAGGAGAGTCTTCCAGAAAGCAGGGCTGGCCTGTGTGCAAGCCTGACAGTGACAGAAAGTAGGTGTCATTCAAAGAACAAAAAGGCAAGCCTGGATCTTGAAACGTGAGGATGGAGGGGCGGGGACATGGGCAGGCAAATGGGTTGAATCGTGAAGAACCTTCTAAATCACAGGTACAATCTGGACCTCATTCTAAGGACAATTGAGTCATCTGGAAACCTTTGAGCAGAGGAGTGACAAGATGGTATCATTGGAAAGATTCCTCAAGGTTTAGTGTGCAGAATGCATTGAAAGTTGGCCAGGTTGGAGGCAAGGACTCAGTGACCAGTTCCACACTGGGACGATGGGCCTGAGGTTGGGTGTGCGTGGTCAGCCGAAAGAAGGGATCGGGATCAATAGACACTTGAGAGGTAGCACCCTCCCAGCCTGTGGTGATGGAGCAGATGAGAGGGAATGAGGGTCATTTTCTGAGAGGGCAGGTACTGCGGAGATGAATCTGGTTGGGTGGGCGTCTTGGGTTGCGGTGCTGGAAACACACCCTGAGTAATCTTTGGAGATACACTTGTGAGGGACTGAGGAAGGCAGGATTAGACAGGAGGGGTTGACCCTCAGTGCTATGGTGATTGAGGCCTCAGCCAATTTACCGGGAGCTCTGGGGCTGGGATGACCCTTCAGAGTTGGCCCAAATAAAGGCAACAGGGACAAGTTTTTCTCTCTCTACATCGGCCAGATGTTGGCTGTTTCTTGGAAGTGGGTATAGCCTCGGGCAAGACAGTTTCCAAGAACTGTCACAAGACAGTGGCCAATTTGCAGTGAGGGACTCAGCTGTGAGGAGTCAGCAGCTAATATTCTTAGCAGTTAGGGGATGGGGGTGTACACCCTGAAGAGAGAACCTAGACAAAACACTACTGTATCCACTACAATAGCAAAAAAGCTTAGGTTTAATTGGGGATATGTTTACTTTCAGGTGCCTCTGGGTTCATTATCCATTCCTTAGTTCACTGATGATTAATGTCAGTTATGGGATGTTCAAAGCATTGCCCCAAGTGGTGGGGATGGCAGGGATGATGAGGGCAGGATGGGAAGATGAAGTCAATATTAGTGCATGCATAGTGCTCAGGTAGCGTCCACACTGCAGGAGACCAGTGATATTCCTTCTCAGGAGGAACTGGGTCTCCATTTCCTGTGTGTTCCCTTCTCCTTCAGGTAGGCCCTCAAAGGATTTAAGCCTTTTCCTTTCTCAGATACCTTCCTAGGTCCTTCTTTCTCTTCCCCTCCTCTAAGACTTAGAGAGTAGAGAACAAACCCAAACACAAGTTTCTTTTAAGGAAGCCCAGATGTAATACAAAAAAGTTACAAAGCGTTAGGAAATCTTATAAAGTTCTCTACACATTTCTCCTTTGGCCCAGTTTCTGCAGATGAACCTTTTTTTTTTTCTTTTTTTTGAGACAGAGTCTCGCTCTGTCGCCCAGGCTGGAGTGCAGTGGCCGGATCTCAGCTCACTGCAAGCTCCACCTCCCGGGTTTACGCCATTCTCCTGCCTCAGCCTCCCGAGTAGCTGGGACTACAGGCGCCCGCCACCTCGCCCGGCTTTTTTTTTTTTTTTTTTAGTAGAGACGGGATTTCACCGTGTTAGCCAGGATGGTCTCGATTTCCTGACCTCGTGATCCGCCCATCTCGGCCTCCCAAAGTGCTGGGATTACAGGCTTGAGCCACCGCGCCCGGCCTCTGCAGATGAATCTTTACCAGGATCCGAATCCCCATACTTCTGGCTCTCCTTTGACTCCTGAAAGGAGGGCTCATAGAAACTACCCACTTTCTTCTGTCCCTACCCTTCTCAACTCTTTCCTTGGACAAGGCCAGCTTTCCAGCATTTACGCCTAAAGAGACAGCAGGAGGTAAGGATTAGTGGATTCATCCAGTAGCCAGGACCTAGGAGGTCATTCAAATATCTAGGGGCCTCCTAAATAATGCCCAATGCTGAGCCCAACCCCCACCTGCTTCGGGTCTGTGGGTGAATGGCCTTTGCAGGCATTTCCAAACTGAGGTTCAGAAAAGGAGAGGTGGTTTTGCCACAGAAATCTATTCATGAAATCTCTAGCAAAGGATAAGGGGAATCCTCTACAGGCTATTTCTGGCAGGCTACTAATAATTTAGACTTGGTTATGATTTCTTTCAAGGGTATGTTTTTGAATATAAAAAAACCTGATTCTCTCCATATTTTGATGTTCTTAAAAGGAAAAGGTAGATTTTTTTTTTTTGTCCTTTTTCTTTGCTGGCTACCCTGCTACAAATCTTTAAATTATGATGCTAGGATTGAACAGTGTCATAATTTCTTTAAAAAGAAGCTAACACATTTAACCTATTAATCTCTCTATAAACTCCTAGGCTTAGCTTGGTTTCGAGCTAAAAATGTGTAGTTCAAGGCATGAGACTGCTTGGTTTAGGCGTAGTTCGTTCCACAGGGCCTCTGGGTGGTGAGATAAAGAAAAGGAGTTTCCTTTTTTCCTTCCACTTTCCCTCCAGGAACCCACCTTTTGTGTGCTCTACCTAACATACGAATTTCCTAATTTCATAAGGGCATTTGGAGGGAAAGTATGATGATATTTACATGCTTCTGCAAAGCCGGCTTCCAGCCACAAAAGATTAAAGAAAAAAAGCTAGGATTTTGCAATACACTGATTGGAGGAAAAGCCAAGACTTTGAGAGTTAGCAATAAAAACAGCAACAACAAAATCCCAAAGGGTTTGGAATTCCTTTAGTTTCTATTTGGCATAAGAATCATATGATTTCTTTGTTCTGCCCTTCCTTATCGACTGCACTCAAATGATAGTTTTATTTCATTCTTGCAGTCAAGTGACTGGTTCTATTGTTGCTCAAAGCAGAGAGGTGCACAAGAGAGCCTTATATATGTAGAATAATAGAATGAACCTTTTTGTATTGTGTTTTTGGAAGATGGGTAGTGTCCGCTTTTTAAAACAAACAAACAAAAAAACCCAGACTAAAATGCTGTCTTTTCAGCTGTGAAATTTAATGATTTTGCAAAATGGACTAAGACGGGTGCTTTGCTCTTAACTATTGGTTTACCTGGCAAAGGGGTTTCTCTGAAATCCTTTATAAAAATAGAACTGAGATAACTTGCAATAAAGTATCTTTTACTTTTTGTTTATGATATTTAAAAGCAGATGCAATGTTATTTGTTGCCATCTGTGCAAATGATCAATTGTGCTTCTAGACCAAATATCTTCCAGCCGAGGCTCCGGCTAAATCACTAGGCTTTGTACAAAGCCCTGCTCAAAAAAGTATTTGGCACGATGAAGCCACGAAGCAGTTGTATAGCTGAAGGCTCTTTATGATAAGCATTTCAGACTTTAGTTTTGGTAGTACAACTCTTGTAACCATTCAAAGGCTGCTTTGCTGTCATTTCAACTCTTAAGAGAAGGGAATGGGGGAGGGGCAAGAGAGTATTTTAAGTAAACAAATATCCCAAATCCATGAAACCTAGAATTTATCATGGTATGCACATTATTAAATTCCATATATTGTAAACTGTGTAGCATGTCAATATTTCAAATTAGCAGGTCCTAGTGTACTCTTCAATGCACATACGGTTTTTACATGCATATTAATAAAGGCCCATCTTTGGGAGAAGAAAAAGGGCACCCTTTCAAATGAAATCAAGCCCAGGTAAAGTTGAAACCCAACCCACAGAGTACTGGCACCGTTTTCAGGCCAAAAGAAGACAAAGGTTTCAATTTCATCATCTTGTAATGCTGATAAATGGGATGCTGTGACTGGCAAAATTTGCAGATTACACAGGTCTTTTTAAACGTGTGTAAATATGCAAATATGTATTCCAATTTATGTGCAATTCCAAACAATTTGCTGTTTGAAATTAAAGACCAACGACTCTTCTGTGAGACAATAATTCGGGTCATTTACATGAAAAGTCTTAAATAGCAAAAATGCTACTTGCAATTTACATCATACAGTGCTCCCATCACAGAGAACAATGGCGTCCTCAATGGAAGTTAACGCAGTAGAGAGGTATACTGAGATTTTTTAAACTTCAGCACACTTCGCAAATACTAACCAATCAATCCAATTTAAAATGAAACAGAAATGCTTCTTATGCTTGGAGTCATCACTGCTACTTGAGTGTTGTTTTGTGTTTTCAGATTCCGATCAAACAGGAGTGAACCTTTTTAAGAGGTTATGGTGACATTTTTTCAGATCCTTCCATTTTGTCCTATTTCTAGTGTCAGCACCATTAGCTTGACTTGGGGGTTTCTGTCTGGTTTTAAAAACCTTTCAATGGAGTGCACGTCTGTGAACAATAAAGGAACCAGGACACGGGGCTGGGAGAACAGCATACCTCATCTGGAATGGAAATCTATCGTCTCTCGCCCTTGCATGGGTCACGATTATACACCTCCGTGACCTTTAGCAGGCTTACATATGTATCTTTTTGTGTTCCGTAGGCTATGACCACCTGCTGTATGTACAATATGTGCTTGTTACATTTGTACACCGTCTCCCTTCTAGAATTTAAAGACCTAGCTATTACATCTTGTTTACTCAATATCATTCCCCCATTAAGGGGAAAAAAAAAAAAAAAACCTACATGAACTGAACATGCCATGTTTCAATCTGGCCCCAGTGGCTTTTTCTCTGAAAGCAAACGTGTGTCTTTTACACCAGGGCTTTCTCCCCACCCCAGGGGGTGTCTTCCATTCTTTTGTGGCTCAGTTGAAGGGGAAAAGGGCTCCAAACCACTAACTAACCAGAGGAGAGCCCCTTCTTCCACCTCCAGGGAGAATTTCAGATTTAATTTGTCTGAAGATAGCGTGCTCTCTTCTTACTTATTTGCCACCATTACGAGGAGAACAAAACACCACCTTGGCTTCAAGATCCTGGGTAGAGGCTCACGGTCTTTTCAACCATCTTTGGCGAGGCCTTGCTTCCTTCCACTCGAGTAAGTCGCGGCTTGGGGCCACGGAAAGGACTGGGTGAGAGCCCGCAATGTCGTTGGAAAAAAGCAGCCCTCCCTGCGCCCCCTCACCAGCCCCACCACCCCGCTCCGCTCCCGGGGCGAAGCCGCGAGCC